TTCCAGAGATTAGGTGAAACTGGTGGTGGGTTTTTTGTTGCAAGGTGCTTTAGTTTAATGCCTTGCAGTTAAGCGGGGGTTGGGGTACATGAGTGACAGCAATCATCAGGAAACCAGCCTTGTGACAGCCCTCGCTTTGGGAAGGGGGGACATGGGAGGGTTTGGGCTTTAATCAGGACGAAGGGGAGAACTGGGCCAGCTACCCAAAACAGCCAACTGCCCAAAATGCCAGAACCCAGAGGGGAGCAAGCTGTTGGTGAGCCCACTGCCCACCTTGCCTGAACTAAAAACCCAGTCCTTGCTGCTGGGAGTGGGTAGGAGGGGTATAGGGTGATTGCTGCCATATAGTTGCCATTCTTCCTCCATTCAGTACTCCTCCCTTTTCTTCTCTCCCCTTTTATCTTGATCCACGTATAAATGCAAGTGAAGCCTCAGCCTCAAATCTTTAAGACTGGCAAAGTTAATTTCCTAGCTGTTTCTCTTTCATAAATGGTCATGGTTTTTGTAACTCTGGCAAGGACCTTGCCTTTGAAGATCCACCCGAAGAAGCCCCTTCAGTGCCAGACAGCTCGGCACCACATCCTGATTTCTCATTCATATACAGTCGAGACCCACGCTTAGCTAAACTGGGAGGTGTGGTGAAACCTTAGAGGTGAAATGTCTGCAGATATAAGGTGTGGTGGGTCTGTGCTGTCTACAGGGACTCGTGCTTTACAGTTTTTGTAAAGCCTATTCTAACTCGGTGGGAGTGGATGGTTCTGCAGCAGGTCAATATTGCACAAGCTGCTTCCAGAGTGGGTTACAACAAATGGCTGTCCAAAGGCAAATTTTGACTGGAATAACGTGCGAAGGTCTGATTTTCAAGTTTCCACTGGACATGCGGTTCAAAGATATTCCAGATTTTCAAATATTTCTTAATCTCCAACTGTGTTCTAGTTCTAGTATTGATGTGGAGAATAACACTTAGTCGGGCATTGCAACACAGCAAGTATTTTAGCAAAATTCTGAAGCTCTGTCACCAGCAAGAATCCTATAGATAAGTAGCCATCTAAAGCCATCTAAAGCCATAAAGGTAACAGGAACTGTTACTGGAACCCTATTGTCTGTAGGTAACGACCTTAGAAGGAGCAGATGAGATAATGGGAACTGTTAACGACCATTCTGTGATCCGGTGATGAGTCATGTATGCATTAGCTTTATAAATTGGTTCTTGTTTTGCCATACGGTGTGCACGTTTGTGGTGGAGCGATCCCCCGTGCACCCAGCGCTGCAATAAACATGCCTACTTTACAACTTTCCCAGTTGTGGAGTCTGTTTCCACACGTCAGTATTGTATCTACATCTTCAAGAAGAAAGAAATTGCTTTCAATATGAGTAGTACATTTGATTGATGCTTGTTTATTGTCTTCAGTCATCACCACCTGCCCATACCAAACTGTCACACATGCCTGTAACTGTAGGCAACAGTTTCCCATCCTGGTTCATCCCAAAGTCCTGGGAACAGGTTCACCACTGGTAAACATAGGCCTGATTCCCCAACAACCAAATGAACCTGTACCACTTGACAGCAGTATTTGATATTGGTGTCAAATCTAAATCCTCATTATTCCATCTACATATTTGATATTAAGTTTTGCGACGTTTGTGTGGTTATAAATACTTTGCAGTCTCTCTCATAGCCCTCTGCTTAAGACAGGAGTCCTGCCTTTAAAGGTATACAGGCTTGGAAATAACTGGTTCCGGAAATGCAATGTTAGAGCAATAATTTATGTAAAACCCTTCATCCTGCCTGGCACATGGGTGTGTTTATATTTGCTGCAGCATTGACTCTCTGAGCCCTCCAAGCATGGTTCTCCTCTAAGAGGAGACTCAAACATACAGACTTTACTCAAGGGACTCCTTGCATACTTAACACTACTGCGCATTAAATAAACGGAGGCCCCTTGTGGTAGAGGGCAGTAACCATCTCTGTTTTACCACATTGCGTATCAAGGGAAAGACAATTATAGTTAAGGATATAAAGTTTCCTTTTCTTCAAAAAAGTGCCACGTGGAGCTTTCAGTACATTCCATCTGAAAGAAGATCAAGCAGGAATCATCATGGTCTTCATCTTACCTAAGTCAAAAGTGAAGATCTGAAATGGGCCTGCTCAGTTGTGAATCTTTGGTTCCTGAGAGTCTTAAATAGAAAGTGGAGAGCACTATGCCCTATGACCTTTCCAGGCTCTAAAACAAAGGCAGGAGCGAAGCTATGAGGTACTTGTGTATCTACATAGGCTTTTGGAACCATTCAGAGAGCTGATAGCGCAAACACTAAAACCATTGGACAACAGCTGTGTGTAGCACTGCAATTCATGGCTCAGTACTGCATAGTGCTAAGCACCTTCTTAAAGGCGGGAATTCTTCACTCCCAATGTCTTTTCAAGCACTTGAAGGCCTTTGAATCCTTCCAAGTTTGAAACATCTTGTCATCTCTTCTGGGATTGGCAGCCCCTGCGAAATTCCACCTCTCAAAGCTTCCCTGCCTTACACGTTAACCAGAAATGATTATTCCAGAAGAATGCACCAAGGCACAGTTTAGTCAAAGTGAAGCAGTCCACTTCTTGATGACTCACAGGTGCTTTTTGAGTGTGTCTTGGAAAGGGCATAGGTCCTTTCAGAGTTCTGTGATTTAGAATTGCCTTAGTTAAGCAAAGAATATGACTTGGAAGTGTTTTCAGAGGAAGAGCTGGATGGCTCTGAAGAAGATACTCTGTACTTTCCTGCAAAACAAAGCATAACGGTTAGACATGAGACAGATAGCGTGGAATGTGTTGGTACTGCAAAGCAAGGGCAGTTAGACCTGTCCTGATGACCCAGGTGGCCTTGACTTGGTCTGCGGCTCTGATACTATCTGGATTACAGCAATACTAGCAACCCCAAAAGTCAATGTGTTTGATGACACAGCCAGGATATGTCAGCTTGAGCTGACAATCATGCCATACGGTAGTAATTTACGCAAAAGGAGGGAGTTAGTGGACTTCTTTGAGCATGGGGGCACATCTAGAACATGTGCTCTTCAGACGAATCCCAGCTCTCTCCCTCTTATGACCATGAGACTCTAAACTAAGACCTAGGTGCAGAGTGTGAGAGACAGTGCTAATAATATGGACATTTCAGGTGGCAACAGCATGGGAGGCAGTTGTGTGCAAGTCTCATTCTTGTGGTGGGAGGCTTCAGTGTCTGGCTAGTGTACTCATGTAAACTTACTGTAGCATAGTCATAGACCAACTTCTTGCTCTGCTATCTGACTAATAAACAGACTCTTTAAAAGCAGTTGCTTGCTTACATTAAACCCCTTCGTATCCCACTTTGACCAAGTGTCACCATCTTCTCTGAGCAATGGTTGGATGCACATTTAGAAATTAAATTACTCATATTTTCAGCAATATTTCTCGCAAAATAAAGTCATAACTGAAATGGTGATATCCATAAAATGACTGTCACAGAACTTTTGAAGAGATACAACTCCAAGGTGGTGAAGAGTACATGAACAGCAAATGAACTAGGGAGCACTGTGTCATGATATCATCAAGCTCAAAACAAAGCTCAGTTGATGGATTTTAGAAGCTGGTGAAACAGGCCACTATCCAATACTTGTTTTAGCATTAGACAATTATGCTGCTAGCATTATGCTGCGATCATGAACAATTATGCTAGTGATTCCAATGATTTATTACAGTTCCTTCATATTAGAAGATGAAATATCATCTATGGATGGATGGATAGACTCTGAGAGTGCGAACACAGGCAAAACCTTCTTTGTGCTTCAATAGGAGACATCTGTTGTCACATACCTGTTTTCCCACATAAGTTGTTAAAGGTTCTTGAAAATGGGTAGCTCATAGCAAGCATTGGTGTCACCAGGATCAGGGAGCTTGACTGTAAGAGAGAAAATTGCTTTTTGTCAAAAGCCTTGAACTTTCTTTGTTGCCATATTGGGGGGGGGGGGGTTTTGAAGGTTGCAATAAAATGTTGTTTGTAGTGCAAGCAGGCAATCCAGAGGGACAGGTTAGATGTTTGTGAGGTGTCAAGTTCACCCGTTTGCCTGTTTGTGATGGTGATGAAGGAGATCAAAAGAAACTACAGGACACAAACAGCCTGTCTCTAACTGTTGGCCAGGGAACATGGCTTAGGCTCCAGAGTCTGTCATATCAGACAGCACAGAGTTCTGGTCTGCTCTCTGAGGGAGTATATCCATTAAATCAGCCAGAAAAGCTAAGATTTATGTGCTTGAGGATGGTCGTTGAAGGCCAATAGCCTGCGATAATCAGAGGCAAATTTAACTTGACACACTAGAGGGCAGTGGAACACAACTCTTTACAGTCCAGATAGGCAGGAAGAGACTTTCTGCTGCTGAAATGAAGTTTCTTTTTTGGTTCTGGAGCAGTTTGAGAGTTTGTTAAAAAAAGTGTGGAAAACACATCTTTTTCTGCTCAGTTCCTCTGCATTCATTAGGTTATACCAGGTGGGAGAAATTAGGCAGTTTTGTGCATTGTCATATCTTCAGACGCATATCATAAAGAGGTAAAGGAAGAAGGTAAATGAATCACATTTAAAAAGTTTGATCAAAGACTTTGGTATTACTTTATTTATTCCTTATGAGCAGAACTGCCAGGGAAACATGTCAATTCCTACTGCCTGGGGCAGCTTCCACACTGTCAACTAGAGTTGGAAGTGTCTGGCCCAGGAGATTCTGTCTGAAAAGGAATTCAGAATTGGGGTCCAAGGCTTAACAACTTGTTCTCTCTGCTTTACTCTGCTGGATATGTCAGTACAGGAGTGAATGAAGAAACTGACATGCTTAATGATAGTTGTATCAGTTATTCCAGCCTTCCTTCCAGTTTCTTGGGAAAAAGGAGTTTTTCCCACAGTCAGAATAGCACCACATCCAGCAGATGTCATTTTCAAGCCAGAAAGAAGGAATGAAGCTTTAAAAATGCATTAGGAAATGTTCCCAGACCTGGATTCCCAGGAGTAATCCTCCTGCAGAAAACACTGGAATACTTGGAGTACCAGTTAAAAAAATCCAGGTAGATGATTCTAGGGATCTTAACTGAAGAAACACAAGGCAGAAGCTGCATCTTTCCTGTCTCGCTCTTTCACAAGATCTGAAGGTGGCAGATGGTTGGAGCACTTAAAGCTTACAGCTCTGCTCTGCCTGGCTAATCACAGGCTGCCTCCTCCCAGGCCTTCAGCACATTGCTGGAGGGCACATGCAAAGAGGTCACTACTGGGTTCAATACTGGTATAACATCTTCATTAATTATACAGATGATAGGAAAAGTGCACCCTCACCAAGACTGCAGATGATACAAAACTGGAAGGAATAGCTGATAGATCAGATGAGTCTTCTGTCATTCAAAGGGACCTCAACAGGCTGGAGAGATGGGATGACAGGAATCTTACAAAGTTCAGCAAAGGGAAATGTGAAGTCCTCCTGTCTCTGAGGAGGAACAACTCCATGCACCAGGACATGCTGAGGGCCGTCTGACTGCAAAGGAGTAAAGGCAGAGCCAGACTTTTCTCAGTGGTGCCCAGTGAAAGGATAAGAGGAGATGGGAACAAATAGAAAAACAGGAAACCCCACTTAAAAACAAACTTTTTAACTGTGAGGGTGGTCAAACACAGGAAAAGGCTGCACAGAGAGATTGTGGAGTCTCCATCCTTGGAGCTACTCAAAACCCAACTGGATATAGCCTTGAGCTCTAACTGACCATGCTCTGAGTGGGAGAGTGGTACTAGATGATTTCTGGAGGTACTTTCCGACCAACAATTCTGTAATTCCAGGGAAGCTGGAGTGATTTGAGCCAATGCTGGTCCTCTGAGCTGATAGTCTAGCCTTAATGATCTCCTTAATTCCTTTGAGGCTCTGTACCCATCTGTCTTAGTTATGCTGTGTTTTTAAGTCTGCTTCCCAGTTCCTTAGCAGTACCTCTACAGGCTTTTCTGAATAAACCCTGTTCAGGGACTGTGGTGGGTTGAGCCTGGTTGTATGCCAGGTGCCCACCAAGCTGCTCTCTCACTCATGTGAGGAGCTACTAGAAACTCCCCTGGCTTCAAGCTGGACCCACCTCTGGCCAAGGCAGAGCCAATCGGCGCCTCTGTGAATAACATATTTAAGAAGCGAAAAAAACCAAACCAAACTGCTGTGGAACCTGCAGTGGAGAGAGTTGGGAGGCATGGGCCTCACTCCTGGCTGCCTGTGTGGGCAGCTGCCTCCGTGTTTGTTGCGCCCAGCACGGCAGTGGGGAGAGAGGAGTGGGATGTGAAAGAAACAACTCTGCAGACACCAAGGACAGTGAAGATGGAGCAGGAGGAGGTGTGCTGGAGCTGAGATTCCCCTGCAGCCTGTGGTGAGATGGCAGGTGGCCTCTTGGCAGCCCATGAGAGACACAGTGGAGCAGAGACCCACTCGCAGCCTGTGGAGAACCCCACACTGGAGCAGGTGGCTGTGCCCAAAGAAGGCCATTGCTCTGTGAAAAGCCCACACTGGAGCAATCTGTTCCTGAAGGACTGCACCTTGTGGGAGGGACCCACGCTGAAGCAGATCATGAAGAGCTGCAGCCTGTGGGAAGGACTTGCATCAGAGATTTTAATGGAGAACTGTCTCCCGTGGAAGGGACTCCACGCTGGAGCAGGGGAAGGTTATGAAGAGTCCAATCCTGTTAAGGAAGGTTGGCAGAAACAATGTGTGATGAACTGAACACAACCCCCATTTCCTGTCCCCCACTGCAGAGGAGGAAGTGGAGAACTCAGGAGCAAAGCTGAGCCTGGGAAGAAGGGAGGAGTAGGGGAAGATGTTTTTAAGATTTAGTTTTATTTCTCATTATCCTATTCTGATTTGATTGGCAACAAACTAAATTGTTTTTTTTTTCCCAAGTCGAGTCTGTCTTGCTCATGACCGTAACTGATGAGTGATCCCTCCTTGTCCTTGTCTCGACCCATAAGCCTTTCATTATATTTTCTCCTCCCCATCCCACTGAAGGGGAGGAGTGAGCAAGTGGCGCCGTGTGGTGCTTAGTTGCCAGTTGGGCCTAAATGAGGACAAAAGCAAAGGTTGTGCCTGGAGGCAAAGGAAAACCAAAAAGATTTATTCTGTACGTCCCACCAGCAGCCAATGTCCGACTGCTTCCTGGGAAGCAGGGCTTCAGTACGCGTAGTGGTCGCTCTGGAAGATAAGCGTAAATAATGAATGCCCCTCTTCCTCCTCCTTTATTTTATCTTTTATTGCTGAGCAGATGTCATATGGTATGGAATACCCCTTTGGTCAGTTGAGGTCAGCTGTCCTGGCTATGGCCCCTCCCAAGATGTTACCCATCCCCAGCCTACTGGTGAGGGGAGAGGGGAGAGGGAGGGGAGCGTTGGAGAGACAGCCCTGGTGCTGTGCCAGCACTACTCAGCAGTAGCCAAATCACTGCTGTGTTATCGACACCTTTCTAGCTACCAACACAACGCACAGTGCTATGAGGGTTGCTATGGGGAAAACTAACTCCACCTCGGTCAGATCCATCACAGATACCAGTATAAAACTAAGCTCTATTATCAGTGCTCTTATGTGATGTTAGCATTTACCACCAGTTTCTTTTTCCATCTCAAGTGCCAGTAGTAAGATTCTGATTCCTTCAGTCCCTTACCCATCCTGGCATGGTTTCTTTGGCAAAGGCCTTTCAATGGCTTCTTTCAAACAGCCACTGAGCATTTATTTTCAGAGCCTTGATCTCTGGAGCACAAATTGAAATGCCAGAAATTACATTTAATAGTAAGAAAAAGCTTTTTTAACACTGAGGGTGGCAAAACATCACAGTATTTTGTCCAAAGTGTGAGTAGGTTCTCCAGCTTTAGAGATACAGAGCACTTGATGGAACAATATCCTAAGAAATCTACTCTAGTTTACCTTGCTTTGAGCAGTGAGTTTGGACTAGATGATCTCTTTGACATCTCTGTTCTGCAGGAACACTGCCTGCATTTCTGTCCTAATTGTATTCCTCAGCAGTCATTTTCCTGAGGCACTATGCAAACTTTATTTTTTCTTTTACAGATGGGAGTGGAACTGGTTTCCTCCTTTAATGTGAAAGCTTATCCTGAGCAAAGGCATTTCCAGGTGCCCATTCAAGCTGTGCTTCAATGCAGGGATGAGTATAAGAGTCACTGCTCCAGAGGAAGTTTCTGTGAAAGGAAGAGGAACCCTCCAGTATCTTCCTTAAGGTTCTAGTCCCTGTTTGCAACATTATTTCTTTTTTTAGGCACTGAATGTTTTGTGTTAAATGCAGAAATTTGCTGGTTATGGGACCCAAGTCTCTCCTCTTCTAGGAGTTTGTCCAGGCCACTTGGTTCCAGAACCACATTCATTTATGTTCTATCTTTTGCTTATTGAAATCTGAATCTTTGCTGCGCGTAGACATGTTTTTGATGAAAGATTCATACTTCCTCTCATTTCTGTTCCCAGCATGAAGTGCAGGCTAACCTGTCTCCTTGCCTCACAAGTTCGAGTTGCAATATTTCCATCCTTTGCTGCTCACAGCTGAAGAGCATCTTTTCCAAGAAGTTCCTTTTGCATTTCCCTCAGGTTGTGAATAAATAATGGTGCCACCGAAATTTTCTGGTTTCTAACTTCAGTTTCATTTTGTGGTTTATTTCTTGTGGAATTTAGAGCAGCAAATGTCCACCAACCTCCTAATTTTTTACCAATTATAGGTGAAATCATGAACTTTGAAAAAGTGAGTATATTGATATTTATGATAGTATCTTCTCTTTCTCTGACTAGTTCTAATAAATAATTCAGAATATAAAGAACATTTGATTTAAAAGACATTTGGAGAATGTTAGATAATTCAGCAGTAACTGAAAAACATTCTTAGGTCAAGGTTCTAACCTTTGTTTGCTGCGAACTCCATTTGGACATTGAATTCCTCTTCAGCAGGGCTTCTTGTATCTATTTGTTAAAAAACCAAAATCGATCAGTAAATACAGCAATTATGTTCCAATTCCAACAATATTTTCATATAATATAAGAAATAGTTTGAATTCTTACCTTCTTGTCCCAGAGAGTCCCAAACACCAAAATGAATAATCCCTAGGAGACAGATAATTACATGCAGCTTGATGACACCAACCTTTTAATTGCGGTACTGCCTAATTATCTCAAACATTGTCCATGTTGACTATTTAAACTCTGAACTCTGTGCTAGAGGATGTTTTTATAACTGCAGCTCACATAATCTCACAGCACTGCTGATGGGGTAGGAGTTCTCCAGGCCTGGCCTACTGAAGCTGAGTGACACAGATAGTTTGCTAGCTCTAACCATACTTGGAAGAAGGGACCTTTGTGCGTGGAAGACATGCCCTGCTCATGCTCCCTAGATAAGCTAGCAGGCTAACAATGTAAAAGGCAAATGAGTTTGGTCTGAAGCATAGAAATTTGAGGCCATTCTTAAGAGGTAGAGTATACATAACTATTGTGCCCTTAAGCAATCCCATTGTATTGGGATCCTACTGGCCACCTAAATATGTTGTTGTAAAAATCATACTGACTGAAAACTCTCAGTCATGTGTGTTTTGGTCAGTTCTTGACTAGTAGTACTACTCAGCTCTTCTTGGTGACTTTCGTGTCACAGGAAACAAAACCATATGTATGTGTAACTCACCTGCAAAGCATTGAGCAGAGCAAAAAGGATGTGGAACACTCGATGGCTGTTTTTGATGATGGTGGCAAGGCCAAATCCCCAGGTGAGGCCTAACAGTGGTGTCAAGATGGCCACACTTTTGCCAATTTGAAACAAAGAGTTCCTCTCCTGCCTGTTTGACCTATCCCCAATAGTTGGTCTCAGTATTTTTATTATAACAACTGCGGTGAAGAACAAATTCATGGCCACAATGATCAGGGCAGGTATGACAAAGGCCAAGAGAGCTTTGCTGTCCTTCCAGTTGAGCCAGCAGACATCCTTTCTGGTGTAATTGTTCTTTGGCAGTGTGACAGCGATGGTGATGACTGCAATGACAAAGGGGCACCCATATCCCAAGCAGAATGCCACTGCTTTCTGAGCGGTCTTGCTTGTGTTATGTAAGATGAAGACCAGTCTGTAGAAAAGAATGAGGCCCAGGCTGACCATCCAGAAGAAGACACACAGGTAGAATAAATGGATGAAGAAGGTGGCCACGAAACAGATGCCTCTGCTCATCTGCTGGTTTTGGTCATTGATGGAGGCAGTGACAATGAACCAAATGTCAGCAATCAGGAGTGATGTAGCTATGTTGAGTATACAGACATGGCGCATATAGGAGGTGGTATTGTTTGTCACATATTTCCAGACTAACGATTCAATTATAATGCAGATCACCAAACTCAGGATTGAAATGGCCAGGCCAATGTAGGTAATATAATCTTCAAAGATTACCGGGGAGGATTCATCAGGTGACATCAGAATGGAGAACGTTGTCAAGTGATTGCAGGAGCAAATTACATAATCTTCTACATTTGTGGGTGTGCAACCCCGACTATCCCAGCCCTCTCCGTGTTTGTCGAATGTGAAGTTCCAAAAGACACACTGGGGCATCTTTAGAGACAAGTTTTTCTTTGCAAAGGTCATATTAATATCGAACTTCTGGCTTCTGTTGCTGCTCACAGTTGTTGTTATCAGTAAGCCGTTCACACTCTTGGGCTTTTCCAGGGGCAAAATATGTCCAAGTTTTGAGTACATCACACTGACAATGGTTGAATTTTGGGTTAGAGTCTGAATTTCAGTTTCATCAATGAGCACATTAACTGTGAGGTTTTCTGTACTGCGGAAGTTCTTCTTATAATCTGAGTTGCTATTTTCTGTGACAACTGTACCTTGTAGCTGAAGGGTGTTTGCAGAGACAGGGGGAATGGTGTTGTTAACTGGTTGGAGGTGCAGGGAAAAATTTTCTACTGAACGCAGTAACAAAGAACTTTTGAATATGTCCTCTTTATTCAAGTCTTCCCAAGCTTCAGTTGTGGAATCAGCAACAAGGGAGTCTACTGTGGAGAGGAAATTCTGGAACAACAACAGAATAATGCTGTTACTGAAATCCCATACAGTTCATTGTTTTTTTCTAATGATAATTTCTGAGTGGTCCTAGAATTGCCTTTTGAAAAAGCCCAGCATTTTCTTATTTCACTCAGTTAATGAGAAACCTTCAGTTGTTAACCCTCTGCATGCTCTATTTTTAAGTTAAGCCTTTCAAAAGGGGAGCTATGTGGCTTGTTTTTACATATTACTTAGTATTTTTTCTTCTCCAGCCTTCTTTCCCTTCTGTCTCAGCCTTTGTGCTGTCTTGATTTCTCGCTGTCTCTCATGTAGGTTTCTCCAGCTACAAAACATCAAGTATCTCTCCACTTTTCGGCTCAGAAGAACAGTATTTTTCCTGTGTACCTCACAATCAAGGTTTCTAAGTATTTCTGAGATATGTTTTGCCATACATTTATTGTAACATCTAATTGATTTTCCTTGATCGATCTCTATCCTTATTTCAACCCTTTTTTTCTGTTTCTGCAGAAACCAGAGAATGGTTTCGACCTTTAAAGATCATCTAGTCAAACCCCCTGCCATGGGCAGTGACATCCAACCTGACACTGTTCCAGTGTCTCACCACCCTTATCGTAAAAAAGTTTCTTCCGATGTCCAATCTAAATCTACCCTCTTTCAATTTAAAACCATTGCCCCTTGTCCTGTTACAGCAGGCTCTGGTAAAAAAGCTGTCTTTCTTATAAGCCTCCTTTAAGTATTGAAAGGCTGCAAAAAAGTCTTCCCAGAGTCTTCTCTTCTCCGGGCTGAACACCTCCAACTCTCTCAGCCTTTCCTCATAGGAGAGCTGTTCCGGCCCTCTGACCATTTTCGTGACTCTCCTCTGGACCCACTCCAATAGGGCTATGTCTGTCCTATGCTGGGAACTCTAAAGCTGAACACAGTACTGCAGGTGGGGTCTCACAAGAGCAGAGTAGAGGGCCAGAATCACCTCCATTGACATACTGGCTGTGCTTCTTGTTACGCAGCCCAGGATATGATTGACTTTCTGGGCTGCAAGTGCACATTGCTGGCTCATGTCCAATTTTTCATCCATCATTCCTTGTCCTTTCCTCTAACTCACAATGCTACAGACATTTATGGGTCCCTAGAAGATTTCTAGTTGCTAAGCATACAGCAGTCTCTCTTTCATGAATAGGCTCTTCGTCTTAATCTTTTGACTTTTCATAAACTCTTCTGTATCTTTGCTGTCATTTCATCTTTGCCGTCATTTCTTCTCATTCCTTTAATACTTTCCTGTTCCTGACCCTAAGTAACTGTAGAATTTCTTCAGTGTGAATGTCATTCTCTGTGACAAAAGAGGCCAAAGGGCTTGATAAGTATAGGTAAGACTTAAAATAAAACCTTACTTGAATAATGAGCTCCTCTGCGTCTGCTGGGATAGAGGAGACCATATCCAGAATGGTAACGATTGCGCCTAGGTTTGCAGGGGAACTGTTTATTATGCTTTGTTCCTTTCTTGTAATTTCCTTAAGCTCTGCAAGGTAGTTAGGCAGGTTGGCTTTTGCCTCAGGACTGTTGACCAAAGACTGGAACAGAAGATAACAGTACATCACATGTGTGCAATTTGCCTCGGGCTTGATCCTCCTTCATAATGGCTACCCCTGTACTAGTAAACTAAACAGAGCCAGGTCATTCTAGATGTGCTGGTAGTGTTCAACCCTCTGACCCTCCAGAACAGGGTATTGTAACTGCCCATTCAGAGTGGTCTCTCATCTGTCCTAACTTGCAGACTGCTCCTGGAAATTTCAGGGGAGGAAATAGTTGACCTGGGCCCAAATCATATGAGGGAGCAATCTAGCAAGTTAAGAAAATATATAATTGAGTAGCTATACCTCTGCCTGAAACCTTGCAGTGCCTAATTTACTAAAATAACGATAGTTAAGTATTTGATGGAAGGAAGATAATTGCTCTCATCTAACCTCACTGAGAGAAGGGTGACTCTGGATGGTTTGTAGAAGTGAAGAGCACGATGACAGGATACTTAGGCTGAAAAGTGAGGCCCAGCACCACCCTGTGAAGTGCAGTGGCTGAGAGGGCATCCCAAACAGGGCCTGGGGCTGAGGGTGGGCAGTGGCCCAGAGTTGTCCCTGCTGGGTCACAATTAGTGACTGTAGCATGCTTTGAGCTTGTGCCAACTAACGTTCGCTGAGGCAATGCCTGAGCATGGTTCAGGGAACACCCCAGGCCGGCGACTGCTCCCACTGTACGCTATAAATAAGGTCACCTTGTCTGGGGGAGAGTGTGCCCTGGTGTAGGGATGTTAGCCATGTAGTGCCACATGCCCTCTGGGCCAAAGAAGGGGACCTAGCCGCTTTCACTGACTTATGCAGATCCAGTCAATCATTCTTTATATCTTTTAAAATATAGTTTTAATTAAATATTTGATTTTTTAAATGCTTCATATATTTTAGATAAAGTTAAGCAAAAAAAACACCCATCAAAAACTTTAGCTGTCGCCTTCTGCCCCAACCCCCAACCTTTAGAAAACTCATTAGTGTTACCTCCGCACTAGTCAGCAGGTTGTTTATTGGTACAGACAGGCAGTTGTTCCTTTCAACCTTCCATGATTTGTTAGAGCACTTGTAAATTATATTGCCTTTAGTAAAACCGTCTGGACTATCTAATTCACAGCATGGTTTTATTAATGTAGTCCCTTCTGTTCCAATGCCGAGACTGTCTGAGCAGGAAACGTCCTTATCTGCATTGAGAAAAAGACATTGAGGTAGGAAAAGAAGAAGCAAGGAGATGAATAGTTTACCCTCATCAAACCTGTGACCTCCCAAAGTTCAGAGGTCTTTAAATTAGTTAGGATTCCAGCTTGCTATCTTAATTTATTATCACCTTTCAGCATGTATATGTCTTGCATTCCCAATTTTTTTGAATCATGAAATTAAAAAGAAATTTAATAAAGCCCTTTGGTTTTGAGTATTGAATCAAATCAACAAACCAATACTCAAAGTTTTGGGATTTGTTGGATTACAGGGTTAGATGGGGTGAAGTGAGATTATATTGACCACTATGTGAACAGTAATTTACACCAAGTTTATTCTGCTAAGGGACTCAGTGCTGCTCTAGCACTAGTAAGAAATTCATTAAGAACTTGATAATGAGGCTTCAATACCTTTTTGATGAAGTGAGTCTTGCTAATTGGCTTTGATTGAGTTAGTCATGCAGTAAGTGTCTGCTGATTAAAGTAAATAAAGTGTCTGCGTATTTATTGCCTAAGAGAGTGAAATCTGGCCAGGTACAGTGATTCAACTGTAGGCACCACTACTGTGAAGAAAACAATATTTTTGCATTGTGGGGATGTCCAACATTTCTTTCTTTCCAATTTAGAATAAGAAGCTGAAATATCCAAACTCTGGTCAGAACGAAACATCAAAATTGGATTTAGCAATGTTGAATTCTAATTACTCAGCATTTCCTACAGAGCTGACTGGAAGCTAGGTCTTCCCAGGTTTCTGCAACATTTCATAGACTCACAGAATGGTTTAGGTTGGAAGGGACCTTAAAGATCATCTAGTTCCAACCCCCTGCCATGGGCAGGGACACCCTCCACTACAGCCGATTGTCCAAAGCCTCATCCAACCTGGCCGTGAACACTTCCAGGGATGGGGCAGCCACAACTTCTCTGGGCAACCTGTTTCTGTTCCTCACCACCCTCAGAGGGAAGAATTTCTTCCTTATATCTAATCTAAATCTGCCCTCTTTCAATTTAAAGCCATTGCCCCTTGTCCTATCACTACACACCCTTGTAAAAAGTCCCTCTCCAGCTTTCCTGTAGCCCCTTTAGGTACTGGAAGGCTGCTAGAAGATCTCCCTGGAGCCTTCTCTTCTTCAGGCTGAACAACTTCAACTCTCATGGAGGTTGCCATTCTTGTGCTTAAAATGGATATGCTCTCCCACAGGCTGACCTCCCAAGCTGGGTGACTTCCTCCTGAGGCACCACAACCTTTATCCTTGCTAAATTGGTAGTGCAAGCTTGAAGTTGCATGACCACACTTCAACACAGGAGACAAAGCTTGGTGGTACAGGCTGCGCCAGAAGGAAGCAGGGAAAGAAGGTGACTGAACTATAACTGCTTGGGAACATACTAGGACCACTGTCAAACACAGTGAAGACAAAACATTTTGTCTATTTATTTTTTAAAATTTCAGCAAAATTTATATTTTCCTTCGTATTTCGAAGTTTCCCATGAAAAGGAGAAAAAATTTCTTGGCTAACAAAAACCCCTCCTGATCGGGGTCACCAGTGATAAATTTGTGGCATCTGACTTAACAAAGATACTGGGATTTCCTATTTAACAGCTTTAAATAGTAACATTTTTCTTACCAGATATCAGGTGCAGTCTTATACTTTTGCTGCTGACTTCCTGTCCAATGCGGTTAATAAACCTGCAATATGCTCTGAGCTCTTTCTCTTTGCTGCATTCTGTTTCTGTGTAATTGTACACATAACAAAACAAATTTCCTTTTTTCTGTTTTCCTGTATGGAAGGATCAAGATGGGTTAACACAGGTTTGGGGTCAATCAGCCAGCAGACAACAGAAAGCTTCTGCAAAACTTTCTTTTCTGTGAGTCTTTGAGAAAAACACTTCCTTTGTGGACAAGCTTCCTTCTGGGTGCTGATCTTTATCTCCTACTCCCTACTTAATAAATCTTCTGGCAGCTGCTGCATGATCAGTACCTTTTCAATTACTGGTGTACGAGCAAATCCTGCCCAACCCTTTTATACTGTGCGGGAACTAAAATTTGCTTTAGAGACTGTTTTGGAGAATACTCTTCCTGCTTTTGCTTCTACCGCAAGCGTTTCATTTAGGCTAGGATACTTTTTGGCTGTTCTTATATGGTTCTTTTGAACTCAGGATCCGTACCACACTCCTATGGCATTTTTCCTGGCAAGTGATGGACCCCTCAGTCTCCACCTGCTTTACACCTCAGCCTGTTGTTTTTGCAGTCCTGTGTGTGTTCTGAATTTGTTTAGGTGGGTCTTGTTTGCTTTCTTCAAATTAACTGTTTGGTAAGCCATTTGAAAACTTTTAATATATAAAAACATGCCAGGGAAGATGCAGAACTGCCCTAAATTTGAAGACATAGAAGCTTAGGCTTTTGTGCTGTTGAAGATATGTTATCCGTATCCTTGAAGAAAATAGAATTGATTTTCGAATTGCATTCTTAATGTGCTATTCTACGTTTTTCAAGAATTAGTACATCATCTTCTTAAGTAACGTTTCCTTGATTCTCAGTTCAAAAAAGTGGCAGAGTGGAAGATAAAAGCAAATAAATGGAGTTCAGCACTTTCTTATTTGAACAATGATGAGGACACTCACTTCTTACCGCCTGGCAAGGTAAACTGAACATTGAATTTACCTATTATGCATTTATCACTACAGCAGTGACTTCAGTTGCTCTTCTGTTAATCTCAGTCATGGTCCTCAGGCATGGCAACCACCCTAAAAAAAAAGTCCACTTTCCCTTTTTTTACACTCCCAGGAGTACTTGTGAGTTATGATAATAGCAGTAAGTATGAAATGGCTACACAGACCTAACTGAAAACAAAAAAACACAGAGACTTGGTTGTGACACATACTGCAGCTAGTGCTTCTGCAAGTTTTTTGTTTCTTACCAACTTGAGTTTCATGTTGTTGAACAACGAATGTAACAGTGTAATCTTCCATGGTGTTAGCATTTATGCAGCACTCAAGGGCTTGTTGCACTTTGCACAGTGTAGCTGCTGCGATGGGGTCTATCAGGATGTTCTGCTTCCCAGGCAAGGAAATAACCTCGATTGTCACATTGGCAGAACTCTCCAAGTGCTTCTGGGAGAATGTGCAGATGTAGGTGCCTGAAAGAAGTGACACAAAATCTATGTCTCAGTCAACAGGAGTGTTCCTCTGCTTTTGCATGGTCATGAGCCCTAATATTGAACAAGTACAGTGCTGTTGGCAGTATCAAGTCTTGCTGTCCTCTAGGATTTACAGTTTTAATTCTTTCTTTTATTTACTGTGGCCAGGCTTCACAGTGATTTGCAGGCCTAAGGATGCTGTAAATGCTCTGGTACGGAGATTTCATTACCTTTGTAGGCAGTACAAATCGTGTTCACTCACCGCTCCAGTCCTGTGTGGCAGCCTTCACTGTGAGCACAGATGTGGCTGGAAATTTGCTATTTTCGATGCACGTATCACAGTCTACTGTTTTTGTGTTATTTCCAGACTGGATTTTCCAACTGATACTGTCATAATTGCTCACATCACTTTCACACCTTAGATTGAACGCATATCCCTCGGAAACTGATGAGTTTATGCTCGAAGATATTGTTACATGGGCTGAGACAACACAAGATAAATGTCACATTATTGAGAGTCACTTGTTATAATCGTTTGCTTGCAAATGACATATACCACAGAGGCCACCTACATTTTAAAGAGCTGATGGCCTGTTACATGCTCCTTGACTCTTACCTGTCCGGAGGTACGTCACTCTGATGTTTTGACTGCACCTGGCACCGAGTCCAGTCTGCAGCTCACATGTATATGTCGTCACTGTACCCGACTTCTCAGGGGGACATAGTGATTCACTGACGTTGAGCTTGTATTCTGTGCAATTTCCACTGAAACTGGAGACTCCTTGAGAGAAATAAACATTCCTTGAAGGGTTATGGATCTCCAAAAATACCTGGGCTCTGGAAATCACAAGCAATCACTCTAGCTAAGGAAAACCTTGTGTTTTTCTTAATTATGTCATTTTTCCTAATTACAAAAATTGGTAAGTGACCTTTGACAGCACGGCACTTTTAACTCATCACTGTAGAAGTTCATTCACATCTTTTACTCTAGCAACACTCACAGTGGTCTTCCAAATGCCTGAAGATGGCTTTCAGCACAGTGCTGGGCACTGACTGCCGAAACCAGCCTAACTGAGAGCAACAATATTGCTTCAATACCTCAAGATAAGCCATAAAGAAGAATATTCTGTTTCAGCCTAACCTCATTATCTGTGATATTGAGGATGAGTAAAATAAGTGAAACAGGAATAAATACTGCAGATTTTAATGTCATCTTATTTTGAAATAAACATTCGGAGGTGTTTGAGAGACATTCAACTTGAAATCTGAAGAGTACTAATTTAGCCTTCAGGGGAAAACCCCACTAAAGCTGTTCCAAGCTGCAGTTGAAAGCACATGTGGCATGAGACCAGAGTTCCTGCGGGAAATCCACAGGTAATTGAGGGAAAAGCAGCTCATTACGGTGGGCCAGGATCATCCTTCTCTCTGAAACCACAGCTGCGTGCCAGCACCTGTCCTCTGGACAGTGGAAATGACTGTGCACATGAGCTTTGAAGGTTTTCTCTCATTTTCCTGTCCTGCTTTCTGCTAAACTTAATTTATAATGAACAGTTAACAGTAAACAGTTAGTCCATACCCATAAAATAAAATAAAATGTTAAGAGGGAAACAGACTGTTTATCACTATGGTTCATAGACATTTATGAGAGTTTCTGTTGATGTTATTTTGTAACTCTTCGTAACATATTTACTTGGTGCTTTATTAACTCTGAATATTCCTATTAGAAGTAAAGCTTTGTGGGATGCCACTGACTCAGCTGGCATGTGACGTTTTGCAACTACAGGTGGAGAGGGAAACTGTGCAATCAATATTTAGCTATGCTGCAGCTGTTTCAAAGTGTTCCACCTGCCTCTCTTCATTTCCAAATTTTGGTATGTGGTACACAGCAGCTTTTCATATCCCAAGGGTGATTCTGGAGACAGTCTTAGAGACTGCCACTCATCCTCACTCTCAAAACTAGAGAATGTAGAAATAAGCTTTTTGGAAAAAGTCAATATGATGCCGATCCAGGTAGCTGTTTCCAATCAGGATGGCACAGCTTTGAGCATCAATGTCTGCACAGTGCATGGAGATGCACAGAATCTGGCTGTCACTACACAACATGTATGAAATCTATACCACGCTGTCCATCCATCATCCTTCACACACACACACCCACACACACCCACCCCTACTCTGTATTCATCCTAGGACTTGGCCTTTGGGGTAGTCAATTAGGTGGAGGTCTCTGAAGAATGAACAAATCTAGTAGGTGAAAGACAATCTTTTGTTAATCTCACCTGTAATATTGATTGCTCCATTTACTTTCCAGTCAATAGTAAGTGATGGTAAGTGTCTGTCAATACAACAGGACAGCAGAGGACTGTTTGTCTGCACTTCAGGACTGTTACATGTAACACTGATGTCATTTAAGTTTGAAGTGATGTATAGCGGAGAGACTGCTATTGTTTTCGTGGCCTTGTATATCTCTGTGAAAACTGAATTGCTGTTTGTGAAGGTGCACCTATAGGAACCTGTAAAGCATAGGCAATATCTTAGCATTGAGAACATGTTTTGCTGTTTTTTCGTCTACGTTTTGAGTTCGGAGCTGGGAGCTACTTTCACACCTAGTTTTCACATCTCCCTGCTCTGCAGAGGCTCTGCTAGTTGCTGATCAGAATTCATCCTCAGGTCATCTGCAGTATGCTCTCTGTAAACTCCTGATGCCAAATGTATCCAGATTAGGCAGCCTCAGTGTTGATGGGTAGTTGAGAAGACACCAGAGCTCTGGGACTGAAATACTTAAAATCTGGCTGAGTTGGTGTTTTTGGGATCTGTATACTGCCCATAGTCCATGTGGCAGCAATATGTCATGGTAAGAATATAGACTGATTGTGCAAAAGGTTCCTACACTGAATGGGTGAGAGATAGGTGCCCAGGGTGGACTCCACAAGAGCTGGCGCTCTTAGTGTAGGCACATACGCTGCTCAGAAGGTATCGCCAGCAAAATGTCACCAATTTACTTGTTTCTGCTTTTCCAAAAGCCCTGAACATGAACATAGGAAAAACTGTAACTTGGAGCTGTAATTAGTTCAGTTACGTTTGCAAAGGGGGCAAGGGCCATCAAGGACAAATTCAACCACAGCCTCAAGTTACTGCATCAGAAGGATGGGAAGGTTTCACAGCCATGTAGTCTCTGCTGTCTGCTGTGATATGGCAGTGAAGCCTGGCACTGAGAATACCCAGGTCTGTGTAGTCACTTCAGTTAATTCATATCTTAGCTGGCAATGCCAGTCAGTATGTAGTTCATTAAAGAAAAAAAGAGAAAACACAGGAAAATTATGCAGGACAGTGTATTTTTCACATTTACTCTAGGAAAACTTAGTTACTCTGTTTCTCTCTGCTTTTTATAGAACTAGGCACACTAGAGATCTACATCTTCTGTTTTAATGATAGAAAATCATACCAGAATCCTTCATCGTAACGTTGATAATTTTAAGAATTGACCTCGAGGTTAAACTTGTTACTTTTCCCTCCATCAAATACGGGAAGCCCACTGAGATGAGCTGATCAAAGTGATACCAGGTCACATTCGTAGATGTTGAATTTATCTCACAAATCAGTCTTACTGTATCCCCTTCAAAAATGTCTACAGGACTCACAGTGAAGTTTGTCTTATCTGGGAAGACAAAGAGCAACATTCAGCATTATTTTCATTTCAGCTCATCTCGGTATGGTGTCTTTCATCTCATGGGAATCCAAGGTGCTTCACAACTAATATGCGCTGAGCATCAGTTGCAGGGCACCACCTCTGACAAAAGCTATACAATTTTCCCACAACATATTCTTCTACTGTCTTTGTCCAGCAAAGATCCCAGGTTTTATGCAGGTATCCAGAAATACTATCACCACCACTACTTTCTGAATAGATAAACTGGGACAAGAAGCAACTAGCTTAAAGTAACCTTCTGATACAGACAGTCCAGCTCTCAGTGCACTGAGACTACAGGACCTCTGAGTCACTTGGACAGGCAGCTGAATTGTGACACACCGTCCAGCAGCAGCGTGGAAAATGTGCCAAGGAAGCCAGAGGGAACCTGTTCTCATGTAAACTGCAAGAGGTTTTTTGTTTTATTTGAAGAAGTGGGAAGTGCTGGTTGCCTGATACGCTAAGAGCTGTCTCAGAGTCAACTGAAGCGTTCTCAATCTCTCACCCATGGAGAGACTGCATCAGTATTCGGTGGAGTAGCTCAAAGGATTTGGTTTTCCATGGGAAGTACTGCGTGCATGGTCATCTCATGTAAGTCCGAAACTTTGGTGACACGGGATGAAATGAAACAGCCAGAGAAATAAATGGATTTTAAAGGTCCGGTACCAAACAATCAACAGTACAAGTCAGCTACATTGTTCAGGCTAGAAATACTAATGTAAAAATTGAAGAAAAACAATGACAGAGCTTTAAACTTACTAGTTATTTCTCTTGTGAAGGAAGTTGTGTTTAGCTGGTACAATGCAACTAGAAATTGTGGTACAATTTTGTTGGAATTTGCTATTTGATCGAAGCTTGCTGCTCCCGCTTTTACTTCATAGTCCACAAAAATACTTCCAGGCCTAATCAGATACAAGAATGAGAGAAACACCAGAATTAAATATCCTTCCAAATAAGTGGTTTTCTATGTTGTGATGAACCATCTCGCATGGCTAGGAAGGCTTCACAGGGCTCACCTGTGAAGGCTCCTGTTGTGACTCAAGACTTGCTCTGGTATACAAGAAGGTTGTGCAACAGCTCTTTCCAAAGAACACCTTTATGTGACATCTCTTTTGTCTGCTGTTTATTTCTAGTAAACTTCCCTTAGAAAATCCAAAATACAGCTGCATTTATATATGTGTGGACTTAATGTCTCTTTTATCCAGATCCAATGTTATATCCAGAATCAATGTACTAATTCATCTTCCTGATGATCCAGGAAATTCGGTTAGGTTTACTTTTTTATTTACTTTTTTTTTACGTTTTTTTTTGTTTGTTTGTTTGTTTTGTTTTTGTTTTTTTGTTTTTTTTTTTTTTACTTTTCCCCTTTTGGGTGGAATTCAGTCTTTCCCACAAAAGGCTTGGATTCAGATAAAGAATCATCATGTTTATTGAACTTTTGCACAGTAGTCAATTTTACCCACAGTCCTATTTCCATGCTAATAGTTGGGCTTTCCTTTGCAGCTCTTATATTGTTCTTCAGTGTGTATATACTGGACAGGAGTTCTAGCCAGAGTGAATGTAGTCTTTGCTGACTGGAGTCTCCTTAGAATCATAGAATGGTTTGGGTTGGAAGGGACCTCAAAAATCATCTAGTTCCAATCCTCCATTCTGTCCTTGAGACTGGACAGAAAGATTTGTGTCTTCCAGAAGAAAATGAAATTGTTTACTTACCTGAAACCAATTACTGTTGCCGATACAAAGCCTGGTAAACATCCGTAGCTAGCGTCAAACTGCAAACAAAGACATATTACATGATGAAAGTCCTCTGTATATTACTCTAGTGTGCTTAACATAGGAAAGTCTCTGTTCAACATTGGAATGAATAAGGGCCTGTAGTATATCTGATAGAACAGGTCTGGCACTCTCCCCACTACCATGGGGCTTTCATTCTATGTGTGCTCATGTAGATTTAAGCTAAGACCAATAACGTGATTTTTTTTTCATGCTTTTGACACAAAAGATTCCTAAATACTTCCCTGTCAGCCAGCATATTAAAATGAAAGGGAATATTGTCATTGCCTGTCAATGGAGGTCACTTTTGGCTCACTTTGAAGCTACCGCTGCTGTATACCTCACAGCCCCCCACAGAGACAGCAACAGTGCACCCTATTTCCTAGACACTTTGGGTATATATCATATTTCTTAGAGGGCTTTCTACCTTCAGAGATGAAAAACTAAAGTCATTACCGCTTTTTCAAGGTCAGCTTTGTATTTTTTGTATGATTCAGAAGAGGAATCCTTGAGATCATCTGAAAAGTCTCTGTCGAGTCTGACAGACATATTCATGACAATAGGCTCTCCCATACCACATGAGTCTGTAAGGAAAAAACATAAAAATAAATGTAAAAATAATCAAAAGCAATGCTTACAAAGTGATTTCTTGGCTTTTTCTTCTGTACTTAATCATAGAATCTTAGAATCATATAATGGTTTGAGTTGGAAGGAGCCTTTAAAGATCATTCTGTCCAACCTCCCTGCTATGGGCAGGGACTTCCAACTTGACCTTGAACACTTCCAGTGATGACGTATCCACAACTTCTCTGGGCAACCTGTTCCAGTGTTTCACCACCCTCATTGTAAAAAAATTCTTCCTTATGACCAATCTAAATCTACCCTTTTTCAGTTTAAAACCGTTGCCCCTTGTCCTGTCACTACAAGCACTGATAAAAAGCCTTTCTTCATCTTATAAGGTCCCTTTAAGTACTGGAAGGCTGCTATAAGGTCTCCCTAGAGCCCTCTCTTCTCCAGGCTGAACAACCCCAACTCTCTCAGCCTTTCCCCATAGGAGAGATGATCCAGCCCTCTGATCATTTTTGTGGCCCTTCTCTGGACCCATTCCAACAGGCCCATAGCTCTCTAGTGCAGAGGACTCCAGAGCTGAATGCAGTACTCCAGGTGGTGTCTCACAAGAGCAGAATAGAGAAGGAGAATGCCTTCCCTTGACCTGCTTTCCACACTTCTTTTGATGCAGCCCAGGATACAGTTGGCTTTCTAGGCTGCAAGTGCTCGTTGACAGCTCGTGTCAAGCTTTTCATCAACCAACACCCTCAAGTCTTTCTCCTCAGGGCTGCTCTCAATCCTTTCATCCCCCAGTCTGTATTGGTACTGGGGGACCCATGTGCAGGACCTTGCACTTGGCCTTGTTGAACTTCATGAGGTTCGCACAGGCCCTTTCTTTGAGCTGTCAAGATCCCTTTGGATGGCATCTCTTCTCTCTAACAAATCAACTGCACCACTCAACTTGGTGTCATCAGCAAACTTGCTGAGGGTGCACTCAATACCACTATCTGTGTCATTGATTAAGAAATTAAATAGTAAGGTTACTTGAGGACACCACTTGTTACTGGCTTCCACTTGAACTCTGAGCCATTGACTATAACTCTTTGGACATGCCTATCCAACTAGTTCTTTATATTTTTCCCATTTAGCAGCAAGAATGGTGCAGAGGACTGTATCAAAGGCCTTACAGAAGTCTAGGTAGATGACATTCGTAGCTCTTCCCTTGTCCATTGATGTGGTCACTCCATCATATAAGACCACTAGAACAGTCAGGTGCATTTGCCCTTGGTGAAGTCATGCTAATCCTAAATGTAAATCTTAACAACTTGCCAATATTCATTTGTATGATAGGAAAGTTGGAATTCTCCTAACTTTCTACATCTAATTCAGATGCCTGGCGTCTGCTAGATATCTAAACTCTCTCTCCAGTTGATGCAAAGCAGTATTCAGAAGGTGATACACTCAGAAGGTGATAGACAGCTTTCCTACAATGGTTGAATTGCTACATTATTCTGGTTGTAGACAGTTTGGATGAGTAACTTTGACTAGATACTTAACTGTTACATTGAGAAAGTTACACAGGAGGAATCTCCACCTATGTTTCACTCACATTAATGGAAAAATTCCCCAATGACTTTGGGAGGGTAATATTCTGGTTGAAGATCCATCAATGGGCACAAAAGAATACAAAATACTTAGAGAGATACTGGAATTTTCTAAGTTGGGTCCATTTAAGGACATGTCCATACTGTGCAGTGGAGGAGCATTGTACCAAGGGCCTTGGGATTCTAAAGGATGTGAGACTTCCACAAGGAAGAGATACTAGCTCTAGTTCTAGAAACAGTATAGCAGTATTGATGTGGGGCTGCCCTGTCATAAAAGCATTGCCTCTAAGTAGTGTTGATTAGAATGGGCATGTTGACGGCACTGGGCTGTTTCCAGCTACAGGGCTGCCTCTGAGTACCTCTGCATGCTGCTCCATCACAAATCAAAGACAGAGCCTCGTGAGAGTTTGTCTTGGATTGCAGAGACAACAGGTAATGCTCCACACCAGTGCTGCCAAACCTAAGTGTCCAGTCATTAGTCAGGTTCCTAAAAAGTCATGGGCACCTAGTCACCAAAGTCATGAAATAAAACTAAACAAAAGACATATGCTGGGGTTTTCTGTCCTTCTTTTGAGCACTGTGACACACTTTGGTCACATTTGTCAATTCCTCTATTGAAAATTTGATGAGATGAAACTTTCTTTCCTTAGAGGAAACTGAAAGTTCCGAAGAGACATGTGAGTGATTCCTGGAGCTGAGGCTCCAGCATGGCACTGAATATCTCCAAGCACTTGGGTCAAGGCGGACCCACATCGCAAAGGGAAGAGCTCTAGAGTGTCTCTACAGACATTCCACATTCATAGGTGATGTGGTAGCCAGTTCAGTCCTGATGTACTGCTTTATCACACCTTTAACACTATTTTGTCCTTTAACCAGTGTGAGGCGTACAATGATGAAGTTCAGCACTGTTTCTCCTTACCTTCAGTCTGAGGCTCACAGTAAGGCCCATAGAAAGGCATTTCCTTCATGTAGGCACAGGGCAGATCAGGTGATAGGCTGACAGAAGGGCAGGTTATCAAGTCACTGCACACCGCACTTGGCCAGGCATATCCATTTTCACAAGAACAACAGCTATTGTTCCCACCACTGGGCAGACAGACTAATGTCAGACAGACAGAGAAATACTATGAGAATGGTAAACTGGGCATTGCACATTGCATATTTACTCTTCTGTACCTTTATACCAATGATCCCAACTAAATGTTGCCCTTCTTGTGAATACGCTTGAATGATGCGTGATCATCTGATGCCTTGCAAATCTCACTACTCTAATAATAAATGACTAACCACAAATGGGAACCAGACTGGTATGGGGATAATTCTGATCAATTACTTGGAAGTAATAGAATGGAGATGTGAAGCCTGATCCTAAAAATTCACCTGGCATATTGGCCAGTGTCCTATGATAGTTTTCAGGTTGGATATTTTTATATTGCCTGTGTTGAAAGCAAATGTTTAGGCTTTTAAAGATTTTAAAAGTATGTAATGATCATTCAAAGTCCTGGTGGCTGGTGAGGTGCTGGGTCATTCTGACTGGATCCTAACAGATGTTGCATGAAAGAAGGTAATGTTGTCACAAAGTGCTTGAAAAACGTACCTTCTCGCTAATAAAAAACCCCTAAACAACACAACCACTTCGCTGTAAGTTTTTCTGCTCTTAATGTGCCATTGGCAAATTAAGATACTAGCAAAGTGATTTTCACACATTGCATATGACCCTGAAGGCTTTTAAAAATCCCTTTGCATATTGCTTTGAGAACTGATGAACATTTCCTTTCACTACTTTATGGGCCAGCAATAAGAAGGTACCGAATAAGGATACGTTCAGTGAGTTGTATCGGGAAAAGGCTGCGTCTCATGCAGCCTGTCTCTGTCGGTCAGAGCACAGCCTCTCACAGCGATTGACGTTCCAAACGCAAGTGGAGGGAAGTAAACAGTTTGATAACTGCTGTCACAGCTTCCTGAAACTTGAAAGCAACTCAAACTACTTGTTAGTCAAACCGGAGCAGAATCCTTTGGCTCAAGCTTCCTCTGGCTTTTTTCCTTCCGTAGGAAAAGAAAAGCATTCAGGGCTATTCCTAATGCCAACATTATATAAAGAGGAGCGGTGGGATGCAGATAACAAAACATGCTGTTCGTGATAGATCTTCAGTCTTATTGGGCCTTTCAGCAGACAGCTGAGTCTGTTCAATTTTTCTGATTTCTAAGAGTGATGGATGGTAAAACTGGGAGAGATCAAATACTGGCAAAAAAAGCGTGCCAGCCAGAACATAAAAAAAAAGATTTACCAACCCACCTGTTGTAATGTTGATGTCTGAAAGTGTCATTTCTACGTTTGAAATATTTGTTGAAATTGAAAGACTAAGATTTTTGAAATGCTCTTTGATTTGCTCCAGAAAAGATGAATCCATAAGGCTTACTTCAATGTCAACCGTGTACTCCAGAGAGGGAAGGTCAAAAGTAAGCACTGAAAGAGAAATATCATGAGACTTTGAAGGTGTGTGTGAGAGTAAATCATAAATTGATGGCTTTCATTTTCACATTTGGGCTCTGTTGCTATTTAAAGGTAGCTTAGTGTGGCATTCTGCTTAGGAAATCTTGATTCCTACTCAGCAGATATTCTGCACGTGTTTTGCCTGTTGCTTGTCTGACGAAAGCCAGATTTCTTTGGTCTCAGAGCAATAGAAAGCTGATATAGATGGCATAATATGTACAGAGAAAAGCTGTCTCATCCTTTCTCTGCTTTGACTCAGCAAGCGGATGAGGATGGATTGTCAACCATAGATTGAAGCCGTACAGGATTATCTTGTGACACCTGTCCACTTAAGAGGCTTAGGTTTTTTTTTGCTAGAGTTAAGTTTCTTCATAGTAGCTTATATGGGACTGTGTTTTGAATATGTAATGAAAACAGTGTTGATAACACAATGTTTCAGTTATTGCTGAACAGTGCTTACACAGCATCAAGGCTTTCTCTTTTCCTCACTCTCTCCTCCCAATGAGGTAGGCTGGGGGTCCACAAGAAGCTGGAAGGGTACAAAGCTGGGACAGCTGAGCCCAGCTGACCAATATGATGCCACACAGCATATGACCTTGACTGTGATGTCTACACCATATATTGTCACGCTCAGCAATAAGAGCTGGAGGGAAAGAAGGGGAGGTCTTTCAGAGCAGTGGTGTTTGTCTTCCCAAGTAACCATTACGCTTGATGCAGCCCTGTTTTCCTGGAGTTGGCTGAACACCTGCCTGCCAATGGGAAGTAGTGAATGAATTCCTTGTTTTGCTTTACCAATTAAAATGTCTTTATCTCAACCCACGAGTTTTCTCACTTTTACCCTTCTGATTCTCTCCCCCATCCCACTGAGGGAGAGCGAGCGAGTGGCTGGGTTGGGCTTATTTGCCAGCTGGGGTTAAACCACAACAACTACCTCTTCCTTGATGATCACAGTTCAGTACCTCAAGAGATGCTGTCCCCAACAGTTATTTAATCCTTGGGTTACTAGAAACCTGCTCTGTTACCATACATTTGTGTACATACTGTTTCGCTTCTGCCTTTGCATCTCTGTCTGGAAGCTTTGCTCTCCTAGTGCACTGTCAATCTGTGCAAAAAAAAAAAAAAGAGAATGAAGCTCTGTGAAAAAGCGAAGTGAAGGTTTAGCTGTTGTTATTGGCATGAATGAATTAGTGAAGAAAATACTGGCATAGATTTTTTTTTTCCCACCACCAATCTTTGCCCCTCCCCACTCCCTTTTTCCTCTTTAAACAGACTGTTTATATCATAGAATCATAGAGTGGTTAGGGTTGGAAGGGACCTTAAAGATCATCTAGTTCCAACTCCCCTGCCATGGGCAGGGACACCTTCCACTACATCAGGTTGCTCAAAGCCTCATCCAGCCTGGCCTTGAACACTTCCAGGGATGGGGCATCGCATCCCCACAACTTCTCTAGGCAATCTGTTCCAATGTATCACCACCCTCATTGTAAAAAAATGTTTCCTTATGTCTCATCTGAATCTCCCCTCTTTCAATTTAAAGCCATTTCCCCCTGTCCTATCACTACATGCCCTTGTAAAAAGCCCTCTCCCGCTGTCTCGTAGGCCCCTTTAGGTACTGGAAGTGTGCTATAAGATCACCCCAGAGCCTTCTCTTTTCCAGGCTGAACAGCATAGGAGAGGTGCTCCAGCCCTTCCTTCCAAGCAGGAAAATGTTTAACACTAGCTGAGGGATGTACTGAGTTTCCAGGTGTCTTTTTGCATATTTCTGTAAGGTGATTGCCTCAGCTTAGCAGAAATTCTGTGTCTGAGCTGCAACTGTCTACGGGGCTGGTGCAGTGCACTCAGTCCTGGGCTAGCCTTGCAGACTGCTTAGAAGACCAAGCCACTCTCCTTTGAATCCAGAAACGGACTCATAGTACCCTTTGCTTTCCTCTTTGCTCTGAGCTTCCAGGTCTGCAGCAGCAAAGTCAGCCTGAGTAGGAGTAGAAAGGGCACTGAAATGTCTTGGCTCCAGCTCAGGTGTCATATCAGCTATTTTGTGGGCCATCAGTAGCACACGGTTGACCAGGGCAGTGGGGGCACAATTTCAGTATGACTAGGTTCACACAGAGTGCAGCCAAGTGAGATGCAGACTATCTTATTTTTTCAATCATGTCCTAGAAATACATTGGCACCACAATTAGCAAGAAAAGCCAAAGAACAAGCAAAGACGCAGGCAGGAAATTTGCAGCTTTGACAGTTTCTTGAGTCCCACTGAAATCTTTATTTACAGGAAGGGCGAATAGCTTGGCAACTCTTAAGTCATCTCTTTACAAAAAGGAACCATCTGGTGTGTGATTAGAGCTGGGCTTCGTATCACAGCTGTGAGGATCCCAAGGTGTGTTGGCATTTTTGCACTGCTTGGGTACCACCTTTCACCTTGGAGGTTAGCTGCAAGAGTTACAGAAAGCCCAATGTGATCCACTTCTTCCCCCAGGTTTGGTCTCAGTGATTTCCTTTTTTGATTACTCTCCCAAACAACTATAGGGTATTGCTTCACATACTTCACACTATTAAGTGATGACTTTTTTTGCAGGATCAGCCATGAATCAATGATGATAAAAAATAAACTGTTACTTTTTTTATGATAATGCCTAAGTGCTGAGCTGGAGAGAGTTTGAAAAAAATCCACATCAGACAAGATACATGGTCGCTCTTAGACATCAGCCATAGGGCAGATGGGGCTGCTGGAACCAGCTACATCTTGGCTTGCCAAGACAAGAGATGGTGGCAGAAACAGCTTAAGGAGTTCATCTTCACCTCTCCTTGTCTTTTTTCAACTGGCTCAAAAAAGCACATTGTGCTCTGGTCAGTCCATCAGAACTAACGTCCCTGTGGTGCTAGGGGCCAAACACAGATGTCAGAATACATTTTGGCTTGATAGGGTTCATAATATAGAACACAAAAGAAGTATTTTCTGGTCTAATAATAGCTGTGATAGATCAAGAGTTGGTAGATCTGTATACTAGATTTCTTTCCAGACTACACTAACTTCCATTTGTTCAGTCCCTTGGTTTCACTGCTCCTCTTTTTTTGTTCTAGTTAGGGACTATCTGTGCAGAAACTGCCTGCTACCAAATCCATACTCAAGACGAAGCACAAAATGGCTTTCCATAATTTGTGCTATTGATGAAGAAAAAGAGGCATGTGAGAATTACTGAAAAAGTAGGAAACTGAAGTGAAGTCTGAGTCCAAGCACAACATCTAAACACAAGTCACTCAGGAGTGACATTTTGGTCACGTGTACTCCTGTCCTACTGTCAAGACAGTGGTGAGACTCTTGTCATCTACCTCTAAGCACCTCTGAGCTAGTTACATTGATGTGCCAATTCTAGGCAAAATTTATTTGGTTTATTTAATTTATTCTCTCTCTCATAGGATGAGTAAATCCCACTCAGGAACAGAGCCCATGTCACTGTTTCCTATGCTTAACCACAGGGACAGCAATTTAAATCCTTTGCAGACTAACAAAAGTGAGAAAGCTGAAGTTTTGCTCAGTTCCTTCTGGAGAGGCTTTAAGACAGGGAAGCAAGAAGAGCCTGGTTTTTGGATTTCTCCATCTCTTTTACACACTGGGGAGACTGGATTCAATTTCCCCACCTGATCTTATACTGATTTCCTCTATGGTTTGTGGAAGTAAAAGAGATCTATAGCAGCTGAGTGCTACAAGCAGAGACCAAATGAAAACCCATGGGGCTGGGAAAGGACACTCACTGTATATTGGATGAATGGAACAAAGTTTGAGTCCTGTGATGTTTGGCAACATGCTGTGACCAGTAGAAATAGGCAGTGGAGACCTGCAGTAATTGGGAATGGCATTTTGTCCAGTGACTTTCCTGTACAGCCTGAAAAGAAAATGAAGCAAAAGGATCAGGGAACGTTCAGCTGACTCACACAGTAGGAAATACCAGCACATTCTACAAAAGTAGTGTGTTCTGATTTTTCAGCAGGCTCTGTCTGTTCGCTCTGTCCAAGACAGAGCATGGAATAAGGTTTGTAATTATTCCTCTGCCACCATCACCAGACCTGTTTCCCTCATATCTCCCTTGTTTTCATGTCCGCTGTACGTACTCAAAACAGAGGGAGAAAGAAATCTCTTGGAGAGAGCAGAGTCTTAAGCAGATTCCTGACAAGGACAAGTGAGGTGCTAGAAATTCATCTGCCATGGGAAAAGCTGACTTTGGATCTTCAAATATTCCTCACAGCGGTAGCTGGCAAACGCACAGCCAGAACATGAGGGAATAGTTGGAAATGTTGCTGTGAGGGCCTGTCCCATTGCAGCAGGGAGAGCTCTGCTACCAGCCATGTCCCGCTCTGGAGAGGGTTGTGGTAACATCATGGGCTCAGCTAGAGACTTCTGTCTGTTTGTTACCCCCTGGCTAACAAGGGAAACAATGAAGAGTGATGTCTCTCTTATGTATAATTTTGAGTTTTTAGTGTACATCTCCATTACTTGCAAAGATGCTAACAAGTAAATAACCTAGAACACAAAGATACTGACGCACCAAAATGTAACATGCTGCCTGAAATGAGAACCCAGAAAAGGCAACCTTTTCCAGCTCATTAATACCGAAGGTAATTATTCATGCAGTAGATTAGATGACGAAATGTAAAGGGAGAGGCAAAACATGCATGGACCCTTATAGCAGATGGATGCTGACACATTTTCTGCAATCAAAGGGAATAGAGAAAGAGAGCTGAAGAATACATAAAAATATGTATTTTACTATGAATATGCACTTTCTGATTATTCCTAACAAAGCAGTTCCCTAGCTCCAGAATTAACAGCTAGTAGAGAGCTACAGGAAAAGGCGGAACCCAAACAGTGTGAAAAGCATTTTAAGAAAGGAAAGCACTGAGAAAAGACTCCTAAGAATAGTGCTGAACAGTAACTGAGTGGGTAATATCAACTTGATTAAAATCATGAGCTTTTGTAAAATTATTATCTTTTTGCATTGAAAAGGCTGTTTATACAAACTCAGGCTTTGAAAGGCTATCAATCACCAGGTGAAAGCAGAAAAATCAGCACCTCCTGGGGTGGTAACCATTGACAATGGCCACCTACTGCCACCACCTTGTGTATCAGAGCTGGTGCTCCCACGTAAACAGAGCACTTCACTGTGACTATCCTGCTCAAAAGAGCCATGTCAGAAAATTATAATATGAACATTATCTGTGGTCTCACCTTGAGAATGGATGGAGGACAGCAATGAGCCAAGCAATATACTTGATGTCACCCACACAGGTATCCAGCAGGGATTTGTCAGGGTTTCTCACCAAAGGTAGTTCTTAGATTTGCAGTGAGACTTCACCTGGATAATGACCTGGTTAAAATATAGGAGACAAAAGTAGGAAGAAATTATTTACTTTTCCAATAGAGACATGTCATCACCAGAGCTCTGCAGGAACGTGTGCGTAAGCCTGTGTCTTATCCCATGTAATGCTGCATCTTACCCTCTGTTCTCGAGAGATGTGGAAAAGGCAGTGATTAGTGGGCAACTTTAAATTATTGTGACTAACAAAAACAAAATCTGCCTGTGAAGATCAGCATAGGAATCACAGGATACTGAGTAGCTGGGTCATTAAGTTCATTAAATTCAGCACTGATAAGTGTAAGGTAGAGAGAAACTATCCCAACGTTATGTATTCTGTGATGGACTCTGAAATGACTATTTCTACTCAGAAATGGGGTCTAAGGAAATGTCAACTGAACTCTGAGATGCAATTAAAAAAAAAAAAAAGAAAATTAATTTAAAGATGTTCTAGGGTAGTAAAAGAGAAAAAACCTCAAACTATAGAAAAGACATTTGAGCTGACCCAGTATGGCTGCTCCTATGCTCCTATATAGGAATGACCAGAAAGTAAGACATCTCACTGATTCAGAATATCTTCCCATCCCACCCCAAAATCCACAAAAAAGAAAAATATTATTACAGATTTTTTTATCCAGTGGATGCATGGCTGGCAGAATTGGAAAAAAAAAAAAAATTGTGAGGGAAAAAGAAGTCTCTCTTCAGTTTCCTGGGCATGTCCATCAGCATTCTACAAAAGAGACTGTTTTTGTTTTTGAAGACATCATCCACGTGTGACAACCTCAAGACTTCCATGGATCTGGCTGATCCCAAGACCAAGCCAGATCAAAATGTATCAAGAGGGAAACATTGCCAAGTTAGAAGCTGTGACACAAGTCCTTGAGATAGTGACATGACTTAATAATAGAAACACTAACAAATCAAAGATTTCTGATAGTTTTTTATATGCAGCGTATGCTTACAGCATATGGTACAATAGCTTAATCTGCACAAGGATCTTGTATTTCATTGGTAATGGGTTGATAATACAGGTAATAGAACTGTATAAAAAAAAAATCATTAAACAAAGTCTATGATGAGGTTAAACAGCATCCACTACAGTTTTGCATGTATCTTTTGCACTGTTTGCAAACTTGCATTCATATTCAAATGTTATGGGTCAGCCTCTATTTTCAAATACACCCTTTGTGCAACCATGTAGCTAATATTAAATGCCCCATTAATTGTATACATAAGAAACCGTATAGAGCACATCTCATGCAAATGAGAACTGCTGCTACTCGGGCTTTGATAGCCCGGGTGAGAAGTCCAAAAATCCCAAACCAGTATCTAGAAAGTCAGAATACTAGTAAACAAATATCAAATTGCAAATGGGAAAAATATTAATGTCTTTCTCAAGTAATGTGGCTGTTCCTCTTGTTCATTCAATGTCTTGCTGAAAAAGAATTGCTGTAAATTTTTCAGCAAGCAATTTCTCAACTGTCTGTCTGCCTTCAGCTGCTAAAACAGGAGTTATGTGGACACTTTCATCATTTCTCACACAAACTGTCTCCCGGGAGGCAATAAGTATCTTAGACTTATAAAGCAAGCCCCAGAGCACTAAAGAAACCTAGGTTTGCTACCAGATCTCTTCTCCACAGCATTCAGGCTGAAAAATGTTGTTTAAAGTTAACTCTAAAGTGCAGGATATTCCTAGAGGTAAATAGCAAGGTCTCACTTTAACCCAGGACATAGGTGATCTACATCACCCCCTTTTCACTTTTGCTAAGTTTCTGGTTTTCATAAACGTTGCAAAATAATTACGCCCTCACTTGCAAATCCACCCAGCACAATAGTTACCATCGCATATGTTTTAGAAAATAAAGAAGACACCCAGAGATATAATATAGTTTACCTTCTCAGGTGATTCAAAAAGAAGATCTTCTAATTAGATCCATCTTAAATGTCCTCTGCTTTCTACCACAGCCCAGGTTGCTCTTTCAAAGGGAAACCAAGACACAGCAACTTGTATAATTATCTGAACGTGTTATTACTGCCCAGAAAAGAATTCGCCTTTAGAGCCTGCACTCAATTTTCAAGTGTGAGGCTGACCAGAGATGCCACTGTAGAAAACCCACAAGGCATTTGAAGAGGAGATATTTCCTGATACCATTCATCAGGTAGTACTCATTATTTCCTCCTGCACTGATGTAAGTCCTTCAGCGTCTTATCTGCAGATTAGTTTATCAAGTGAACTAACTTGTTTCACTGCTGTTACTCATCTGCTTCGTTCTAACAAAAGAGGGTGTTGAGAACCAAAAGCGGTAAAATCATGTTTTGTAGCTGTGGCAAAATGTTCGTAGGTTTTCACTTCAATAACAAGGGAGGAAACCCCTAAAGTTTTCCTACCTGAGCTGGCAGCATGCTCACTGTGGGCTGGACCTGGAAGGCACTAGGGACATGCATTGTTGCCCTTGGAGAAGCTGCACAGAGGCACAGACCTACAGCTCTGATGGCTACTGTGGAAGGTGGGGAAGAGCATGAAATTCCCAGGAACCAGGGGAAACTCTGATGTGTTATGTATGTTTCTACGTCAAACAAAATCTGGAGCCAGGAACCCACTGCAGAATCAGAGGACACCTGTCCAAACAACAGTGGTGCCTTGTTCCTACAGTGTTCGATCACAGCCAGTTTATCACTGGAATTTGTTTCCACAGTAGTGTGTGTGAGGCAGTGACTCAATGAACTCATGCAATGTCTGTGGAAAAGCCTGGGATTAAACTCATGTTGTGGGAGATTATTTTTTAAACAGTGATTAATTCAGGAGATAGGTTTGTAGAAAGAGCTCCTATTCTCCCACAAACTGGAAACAGTCCCTGTGGAGATCATAGAATCATAGAATCATAGAACCGTTAGGGCTGGAAGGGACCTTCAAAGGTCATCTAGTCCAACCCCCCTGCAAGGAACAGGGATATCTCCAACTAGATCAGGTTGCTCAGGGCCTCATCCAACCGGGCCTTAAACGTCTCCAGGGATGGAGCATCCACCACCTCTCTGGGCAACCTGTTCCAGTGTTCTACAACTCTCATGGTAAAAAATTTTTTCCTAATATCCAACCTGAATCTAGCTCCCTCTATTTTAAAACCATTACCCCTTGTCCTATCACAACTGGCCCTCCTGAACAGCCTCTCCCCATCTTTCTTGTAGGCCCCCTTGAGGTACTGGAAGACCGCTATAAGGTCACCCCGGAGCCTCCTCTTCTCCAGGCTGAACAGTCCCAACTCTTTCAGCCTGTCTTATCAGAAGTCCTGATCCTGACTTATCAGAAGTCTATGGAGGTTGATAGACTCATGGGGTAGACAGATGTGCCCCAGGATCTCCATGGTCATTATACAGTTGCTGAAGGCCAGGTGGGACACACCAGGGCATCCTGAAAGGGCACAAGGTCTCCAAGGTAGACAACTGAGTCAAGCTGTAAATGCCACTCATTGTCACACCGCAGAAGGATATCGGAAACAAAAATGTCAA